ATACCTCACACCCACAACTCCTCCCCCCCATCCTTAAAACTACTTTTGCCACATATATGGAATAACTATAGAATCACATAGGGGTAACAAGAGAAACCCAGAATGAACATCTTATGCTTGCTCCCTACCCTGAGCACTCTGTTTGTGAGTCTTATTTATTTATCCTCATTTGTTATCTTTGTGAGCCTATGTGTTATTTGGATCAAGGATGGTCTTCCAGTGCATGAGAAGCTGAGTGACCATTTGAAGCAGTGTTTCTTCTAACAGAAAATGACATCACTGTCTATCTTCAGGGATACTGCGAAAGGACCTGTGCATGCATCCCTCTCCTGCTATAGCATGATGTTCAGTCTTGACCAAGCCTGGACAAATCACACCGCTGCTACCTGCTCTAAGCTTACCCTTCCCCAAAATAGGTCTCTGTCTTATCATCTTTTTCTCTGGTTGTCACCTTTTCTTCTTTTATACAGCTCATTCTCCCCAACCACAAACTTTCCTTACCTTTGACCCTCACCTGCAAAAAGACGTGACATAATTGCCATTACTAGTTCCTTAACTTCCTCAGCTAATGAAAAAAATGATGCTTCTATGATTCAGTCCTCCTGGGATGGGCAGCTTTGCACTGCTTCTGCTTGAGGAATAATCAGGTTCACAATACTCAGAAAATAAAATGGTCCCATTCTGCTTTCCTTGCTTCTCAGTTTGCTTCAATGCCATTTTCAAATGTTGATCTTCTGGATAATTGCAAAACAATTTTCACACAACCATGTTAAAAAGTCCTACTTAGTTTTAAAAGTACAATCTTCTGGGTAACTATGGAGTTCTGTAAAACTCATTTTCACTACTCTACTGTGATAGAGTTGGAGAATAACTCTGAGCATGTCTATCCAGTGCAAATCCCTGTTTTCTGTTCCTTTAACTTTCTGACACGTTTCTTTTTCGTCTGAAACTTCACATGCTTGGAAACGACACAAAGGTGCATTTTTGTGGAAAGTTTGAAAAGAATCAGCTTGGCTCTTTTTC